AAAGCCTGTAGAGATTTGCAGCACCAGGCTGGTAACTGCTCACTCACCTCTTTGTTGTGCAGGTAGAAGAAAAACCTGATGTCACTTACAGTGATGTTGGTGGCTGTAAAGAGCAGATTGAAAAGCTGAGAGAGGTGGTTGAAACCCCTCTGCTTCACGTAAGTAACCTCCAGATTGAAAGCTTCTATTATTTTGGAAGTATTCTGGTCATCTGTGGGAATCTGAAAAAGCAAGAAAAGACAATGTTACTGAGTGTAAACAGTTCAATGAAAAGAAATCAGGTTTTACCAAGTGAAATCCAGCCCAGACTCGTTTACAATCATTAATGATTTCCTTGATTTGCATATATGCTTTGATGCACATAATCTTTAATTTGTACATAACCTTGCCTTCTGGCTCCCTTCATTACAGCCTGAAAGATTTGTGAACCTTGGAATTGAGCCCCCCAAAGGAGTGCTTCTGTTTGGGCCACCTGGCACAGGCAAAACCCTCTGTGCCCGTGCAGTGGCTAACAGGACTGATGCCTGCTTCATCAGAGTGATTGGATCTGAGCTGGTGCAGAAATATGTGGGAGAGGTAAGAGAAGTACCTGATGGAGTGTGGAGGGGTTTGGAGATTTCCCTCGTGGGTACCAGACACCACAGTGGGGGCAAGGGATGGATGTATTTGGAAGCTGCAGGTGCAGGGGGTAGGAGCTATCAGACAGATCACTGCAGGTCAGACAATGCTGACATGACCTCAGCTTTGCTGTCACTTATGAGAGGGATTTTGCAGCACAGAATTCAATCTGCAGTTCAGGAGGACTCTGGAATTAGGCTTCTGCTCCCAATTCTGCCACTTACTTTTCAGTTGGCCCTGAGGTCAGTTACTTCATCTGTACTTCTTGGTTTAAGAGCAGTAATTTTTCTCTCCTTTATAAATTACTTTAAGCTTTATACTTGTCCCATTATATATGTGAACAAATAAAAAGAGTTTTTGTGTTGGAAACTTAGAAGTATTTGGAAGTATGAAAAGTTTGATTTTGATAATTTTCCTTTAATGTGCCTAAAATCTCTAACAAAATCTTGATTTTTTTTCTTTCAGGGAGCTCGAATGGTTCGTGAACTCTTTGAAATGGCCAGAACTAAAAAAGCTTGCCTTATATTCTTTGATGAGATTGATGCCATTGGAGGTATGTTTGTAATAACTACAGTTATAATCTCATGTGAGAGCTTCCAGATTTTCTTGTAATTCTGTATCTGGATTGATGCATTTCAAGAAAAGTACTTGTAAATACTGAGTTAGCAAAACTACTCCCAGCACATCCCATGTCCAGGAAGCTGTCAGGAAGTGGTTTATATAGCCCAGATGGGAAGCCATTTTTGCACATTTGGAACACCCAGATTATTCAAACTTCAGTGAAGAACCTTTGTATTTTGTTTGCAAAAAAGTACTGATAACTTAAACCCCCTTCAGCTTCTGGACTGCACCCAATGTCCTTATTACTTCCTGAACATTATTATTTTTTCTCAAAAGTCCTTTGAAAGTAGAGCAGTTCTTACATAAATAGGGGAGAAGGATGATTTTGGTTGAGGGAAGGGCAAAACAAACAAAACTACATGGGTAAATTCCAGTAGCTTGGCCAGTTTTTAGGTAGGGAGATAGAGGCCCTTTTGTACTCAGGATCTTTGTAACTCATCACACCTTTTTAACTCATCACAAATACTTGTATGCACTTTAAAATAATTTTCCCAGGTGCCTTGTGTTGCAGCCACTGTGACACCTCTGTGTCCATGGCCTGGAGCTGCCTCTCCCCCTGTGACACTGGTGTTCTCCTCTGCAGGTGCTCGCTTCGATGACGGGGCTGGGGGTGACAACGAGGTGCAGCGCACCATGCTGGAGCTCATCAACCAGCTGGATGGGTTTGACCCCCGCGGCAACATCAAAGTGCTGATGGCCACAAACAGACCCGACACTCTGGACCCTGCTCTGATGAGGCCTGGCAGGCTGGACAGGAAGATAGAGTTCAGCCTGCCTGATCTTGAGGTGAGAACTCTTCATTTCACTGCCAAGTGTGTTCTGATAGCAGAGCATTTCTGACATTAGGGCATCGTTGGCTGGGAGTTCATGAGAATCAGCAAATGTAGCACTCTTAAATTATGTGAAACTACATACTATGGAAGTATGGGGGATTAAAGATGTGCCAAAGGTTTTTCCACACTGCACAGATTCCATCCTGGCTGAGAAGCCATGGTAAGCAGCTGTAATCACTGTATGTTCCTGCATCAACAGAGAAAAAAATCCTTTAACCAGATCCACAATTTAGTTCAGAAACTAGAATGTGTTTTGTTTTGGTTCTTCTGAGAGAGATTTCTTGAGGTACTTCTATGATGAAAGCCCTTTTTAAAGTTATTTTCTTACTTGAGTGTCATGGACACTTAGACATTCCAGTCCAAACATGGGAAACCATAGCTGGGTAGCAAATACAAGATGTATTTTCCATTTGCCTGTGCTGTGGAGGCAGACAGCTGCAGGCTGGAGTCATCACCTCTTTCATGCCATGAACACCTCTGTCCTCCTGCCTTTCCTTCAGGGGCGAACTCACATCTTCAAGATCCACGCTCGTTCGATGAGTGTGGAGAGGGACATCAGATTTGAGCTGCTGGCTCGGCTGTGTCCTAACAGCACAGGTAAGCTGACTGTATTTATTTCTTTACTTAGACAGCTGTGTGTGTGCTCCATGGCCCCTGGCAGTCGGTGCTGAGTTGTTTATCCCTGTCTCTCCCAGGTGCTGAGATCCGCAGTGTGTGCACGGAGGCAGGAATGTTCGCTATCCGAGCGCGCCGGAAAATCGCCACCGAGAAGGACTTCCTGGAGGCAGTGAACAAAGTCATCAAATCGTACGCCAAGTTCAGCGCTACCCCCCGCTACATGACCTACAACTGATACCTGGGAAGGTTCTTCCTGTTCCCCCAAAACTTTCTGTGGAACAGAAATCAAAGTGTAGTGATTTGTGTTTTGTTCTTGGAAGCTAGAAATAAATGGAGGGTTCCAAACAATAGGTTTGTGTTCATTCTGAGTGTTTTACTCCAGTGGATTATTGCTGCTGTTGGGAAAAGATCTCGGTGAGGTTACAGCAGCATGGCCTAAGCCACTGATAATTTTAAATCAGATACTTGGGCAATGTCAGACATCACAAGTTTAGAAGTCTGGTCACCATCTACACCCCAAAACTTGAAGCTGAACCACAGAGGTGCTAGAAGACCCCTGAGTGTCTCCGGTGTTCCTGGGTGTGCTGAGAAGTGCTTGTGTGTCCCAAGAAAATGGGAGCTGCCATGGGAAGGGACTTAGCTGAGTCACTGCCCAGCTAAGGAAAAACATGAAGGGATGTTTTTACCCTCCCTTTGTGTATGCTCTGATACCATCACAACTTGGGTTTTTTATCTTCAGTGGTTTTTCTATCCCTTTTGCTGAGATTCTTTGTTGTGTCTTACAAAATAGTAAATGGGTCAGAGAGGAGCAAGATGTGATTTCTTACTCCTGAGGGACGGAAAATTCCTTTTCCCTGCTCCTGCTGTGAAGATTGACATCAGTCTGGTAGTGAGCACTTTGAGACACATTGTATGACTTCTCTGAGATGCTGCTGCTGCATACAGGATGAGCGTGACAGGGTCCTGGTGCTGAGCAGTGGCTGGGAGTTGTTGGCCACAGGCAGCCTTGAAAGGTAAATCCTCATTCATCTGACATGTTCCTGTAGAACTGGGTGTGCTCAACAAAAAACAACGGCCTTCCCTTTTCCTTTCTTGCCATTGTCGCATTAAAACAATTTCAGGGGAAGAGCTGGAAGAGGTTAAAGAAATGCCCGAGGGAAAAAAAGTGCTTTTGGGAACTGCTTTGTCTTGGAAGTGGGAGAAGTTTTATTGTCAGTTGTATCAAAATGAGACCTATAAATTTATCAGAACAGTTCTTGCATAAATAGGGGAATCATGAAGCCACTTCTATTTTATTTTTTTAACAGGAAGTATGTGCCATAGGGAGAGTATGCAGCCATGGACTGGGTTATTGTTCTGATTGGTGTCAGTATCTTTGATATGGAAACCTGGGCAATTTCAATACTTGTGTGTCATTTCAGGAAGACCATTTTAGGGAGGGATGCAAGTTTATTGGTGGGACAGGATGTTTCTCATTTTCAGATAGCAGCACTGACAGCATCTCTATTTACCAGGAGCAGCACTTGAAATCAAGTGTAGCTTTTACTTCAGAAGGGTAAGTGAAGTATGGAGAAAGAGTTTGGATCTTACCAGGTATCCTGAAATATCATCAGTGCTCTTGCAAAAAAAGGAGGGGAAAGGAACATGACCCTGATTATAACCAGGTACTGAGCCAGATTAGGCCATGCAGTGCCATCTGCTGTGGTGGGGCTTCAGCAGCAGGGGCAAGGCACTCCCCTGTCCCTGCAGACAAACTGCAGCCCTGTTACAAGGTCAAAGGACCTGGGGTTGTTTATTCTGGCACTGACAAGCCTAAGATAGGATTTAACTTATAGATAGTGGTCTGTTAATCAGTGCAGGGAAGAGGAAGTGGGTTCCCTTTCTAGGGGCTGGCTCAGGCTGCCAGGGGGATGCAATGCTTCAGCTGGTAGCAGCAAAGTACAGGAACAGATGAGCAAAAGCTGCTGAAAATGTTGTTCTATGGGATGAGTTACCAGCATTGCTGGGAGGTTGTTCTGCGTGGTCTGGGATGTGGGACTTTCTTGGGCAAAGGTTTTCAGTCCAGCATTTCAGCAGCTCCCTGGGAAATGCATCTGTTTCTCCTATGGTGGGAGATCCAGCTTTGGTTGTGTATTTTTGTGAGGCCTGAAATTGAGAGGTTTCATGGGGGTGGCAGGAGGAGTGAGGAACAGGAACCAGCACAGCAGGGAAGACCTGCCTGAAGGTGGAAACCTCTCTTGGCCCCTCCCTTGACATCAGACACTTGTATCTGGGTCAGCCTGTTTCTCATACAGTCTCACCAAGACAAAGTGGAAAATTTTGACAAGTGACATCACTTTATTTTGGAAGTTGACAAGGTTTCAATGTGAACTGAAGAAACTAGAGAGTTAAAAACTGAAGCTGCAACAAGCTGAAAGTAGAAAAATATACTGTAGATACAAAGGCTTGTTGAACTAGTTAACATTATAAAATGTACCAAAAGTTGTTTAAATAAGCACACACAATGTCTTCACATGCATGCACTTCATCCTTTGAACTCCAGCTAAGCAGCAATTTCTGATGCAGAAAGCTTTCCATCCTTATGGGCAGGGCAGTCTGAGGAAGTAAAGTATCTTCCCCAACTTCCCTGGTCCCTGGAAACAGTTTACCTGAAGCAAGCCCTAAATGTAACAGAGCCTGAAATAAAATATTACATTCTGTGACCAGAGGTGAGGAAGGTATCTGAATTCCTTATGCACAGGACCTGTGATTTGAGGGTGCTGAGTGAAATGTCACTGATGCCCCCCTTCCCCTGTGTTGTCAAAATAATCTACAGAGAAATACTTGTAGGTTCCTGCCTCTGCTGAGCTTCACAGTGACTGTTGTGAGGGAAACAGGTGCACTGAAGATTTCTTTTGCATGATTTCCACGGTTTTCAAAACCTCACACCTGGAGAGAGGCAGTACTGCAGTGGCCAGGCTGACAACAGAAAAAGAAACCCCACACTACTGTTTCTTTTAAAAACTCAAACATATACAATTTTGGAATTCTGTTGAACTCTTATTACTCAAAGCACTTAAAAGCTGTGGCAGAAGCAGCACTACTTGGGAGGAAGATGGGCAACAGAAAAGTACCTTTTTTTTTGACCATTGAGACTTTAGACCTTGCTTAAATTTTTATTCCAGCTTAAGAGAGTGCATATAGGGCATCAGTTCTTAACTTAAATAGACTTAATTCCTATCTTAAACCAATTTTGTCTTCAAACTTTAAAGCTAAATTAAGTTCAGCTTAAAATCAGCTGTGTTCTTTTCTAGAAAGCCTAACCAAGTTTTCTCAGTGAAAGTACCATACTGATAATATAATAATTAAACAATGAGTTTCTGACTTTAAGTTCACTTAGAGCAAAAATGAAGAATTGGGTATAGCTGAGACAGGTTAGGTATTTTTAAAAAATTAACTCTACCATCCAGGTTTAAAAACAGCAGCAGCTAAATGCCACCAGTGTGAATTCATTAATCCAGCTGGCAGAGCATTATAAATTGTACAAATCTGTTGTATGCAGATGTTGACATCAGGCTTTAAAAGTAATCTAAGAAAGTTATTTAAAGACACTGGTACAGTGTATTGCACTTGCAGAACAGTTACCTCCTGCAAGATCCCATGTGTAGTGAGTTAAAGTGCCCATTTTCTCAACAGGAACTGGAATGTCACCTTGTCCACCAGATTATGACTGCAGCAGAATACACTGAATTTTCTTTTTTTGCATAATTTTGTGCTTGTGTATTATTGGAAGGCTATACCCTGATTGAAGGGAAAAAAATCAAGAGCATGAAGGCTTCCATTTCCTTATCTACTTTTCCTACAAAAAATAAGCACCGCCCCATACCCGTAGATACAAACAGCCTTGGGCTCTCTTCAAACTGTGCAAATTAAATACTCAGAAAGAATCTCCATGAGCATAAATCTGGCTCCCATTCTGCTCAATACCACTCTTCAAAGGTTGAAGTCAGCCTGTGCAGCAGACCCATCTTTCACTTGGCAAGCAAGGACAGCATCGTGAATACTGTGAAACAGCAACTCTCTTGTTACACTTTTATCAAAAAAATTCAGTCTTGTCAGCTCATTCACAACAGGGCCTACAAAACAAAACCCAAACATGGCATCAGCACATACACTTCAGTACAAAGATGGAAGACAATGGCATCCCAGGAAGAACATGAAAACTTGTTCTCTTACTTGTTGTTACTAAAAATTTGAAATAGTCAAGTGCATCCCATACTAGTTCTACTCCAAGCAGTCTATGCCTAGGCAGACAAAGACAGAGGCCTGTTCTTGGCACAGGATGTTACAATCCCAAATACTGGATATTGGAACATTTCAGGCTTTTTTCCTTATTACATTACCACTGTGATTTCAATATACTAAGTTCAGTGTGGCATTCACAACTCGCCAACTGGAAGAAATGGAAGCAGGATCCAGTCCTCACAAAGCTCATTTCATCAGTGCTCCACTTTCACTAAAGTTAAGGTTTTAATGCATATGAGCTTGCTTTTTCTCAAATCAAATTTTATGTGAAGTGCTGATATTACTGAGGCACTACTGGCAGCAGGAAATTCGGGAGCAGAGGGAAGGAGATAAGACACAATCTCTCCCATAGAGCTCACAAAAAAAAAAAAAATCTCAACTCACCACTACAGCTGGCAATGCAGACACATACACCAACTTCTTTGTATTCTTTTATAATCTACAACAGAATGAAGCTGAAGTTAAATGCAGATAATAAACACATCATCATACACATCACAGTTCTGGAAGCCAAATACCGTGAAAGCCGCAGAGTACACATTCCCCAGTATTCAGCTAAAATTTACAAAATTAAACCAGGGATTAGGTGAGATATTGAATTGTATTTGAGCAGACAGTTACATCTCATGCTGACAAGCTCCTTATTAGATATCTGAAAAGTTTTCTGTGGGTTTTTCTGGGTAAAAAAAAAACTACTTACTGATTTCAGTGCTTTTGCTCCAACTGAATCCACAAAGTTCACTGGGGTGAAATCCAGAATTAAAGAGTGAATACTTGATTTGGGCTCCACAAAATGTTCATGCTCATCAGGAGACATGTCTTGTACACTGGAATCTTCAAGTTTTCCATTCACAGGTAAGTCATCACTTGCTATCTCATGTTTTACACTTGCTTCTACGTCGTTAGTCTGGGAGAGAAGATGAATAAAGCTTAAAGGCAATCAATGCTTTTTCAATGTAAATCCCTTTGCTCCTTTCACTCGTGTTCTTTAAGCCTTTAAAAGTTGACAAGCTCCTGGTCACTACAGAAATGGGCTTGACATGCACACACACTTACATATCCTGTGTGTATCAAGGTTATGCCCAGCCTTTTAGCAGTCACACAGAAGCAGCTTAAAGCTGTTATCTCAGGACTGAATTACCCATTTCCTTCAAACACTAACACCTGTTCATCTTTATTGACACAGTTTTACTCCATTTCCTTGTCTCATCCTTGGCTGAGTCCATCAATACGTATATATTAAAAATAAAGAACAGCAATTGGGCTCCAAGTTAGGCCTTTTTTAGGTTTCCCATGGTAAAATCATACACCATCTCCCACCATGGTGGTGAATTTAAATATGCATAAGAGCACAAGCATGTCCCAAATAACCCTTCTCAGTGTATCTGGGCCACGCCAGGATTACCAGAGGGAATGGCACCTTCTTGTTACAGGAGCTGCTGATTAGAATTGATTTATTATATATTATTACTACATTATTATTCCAAGTGTGGGGGGAGGGGCAGAGTCCCTTTGATTTCTGCCAACACCACTGGTGAGACAGCATGACAACATGGAGAGTTTCTGTGCTACTCTGTGCTACCTGAATGCAATCTAGGTCCAACACAATTATCCAATATAGCAGTGAGCCTCTGATCCTTACACTGTTCCTTCAGCCACCTGTCCCCACTGCACAGCACTTCCTCCCTAAGCAGCACACCTTGTATGAAGCACAAGAGTGATAACACCTGGAAGCCTGTAAGCTGATAAAGCAGAGGTAAATATTTACCGAAGGGCTCACGAGCTTCAGCACAGCTTTCTTTCTGTGCTCATTTGCTGCCTTTATCTCCCTGGCATGGCGCTTCTGGGCTTTTCTCCTTGCTTTTAACAAGGCACCAGGGTCCACTCCAGTCTGTCAGGAGAAAAAAGTATGATCAGAGGAGATTCAGCTTGTTAGGATGGCACTGGAGTATCAATTTGCACTGAATTAACCACTGCCATAAATTTAAATGAGAAGCCTGCATTTTCCAGCTTCCCTTGGTACGGGTGAGAACAGGGTAAAAAAGGAATCATCTTGGCAAGCACTGTGTTAACAAGATGAGCGAAAGATACATCTCATTATTTTCTTGAAAATCAGAGAATGTTGTGTTTCAACCAAGTGCTGATTAGAGTGCAGAGAGCAAAGGGGAGAGAAGTGCTTTGGAGCAATAATCACCAGGATCTCTTGCTTTGTGAGGGAAAGTACCACCCACCTGTTTTGTTTAAGACTCGCCATGGGAGCTACAGAAAAATGTTTCAGAAGTTAGTACAGGCGCAGTTGTCACTGGGACAGGTGGTTCTGCTGTTGCCACTGCCACCCAGTGACAGCAGGGTGACACAGGCAGTGAGGCAAGCCCTGCGTGCAGGTCACCTGTTGCCCATGAGAGGCACTAAATGCCCACAGTATTCCACAGACTTACACTCCAGTAAAGTTAGTTACCCAACAAGGAAACTTTTATTCCCATTTTGTTTTCAGCTCAGCAACTAGCTTCCTGCTGAAAAAAAAAGGTTTGACCAGTCTGTGCTCGGCACCCACCACTTTCCATTCAGGAGCAGTCAGTATGAAGCAACACTTTGTTTATACCCTCCCAACATGTTGTTGCTTCCTAAGATAATTTGTAGCTGGCTGGAGCATCACCTCCCATATTTTACAGATCACCAGGGGCTGCAAGCTGAGAAACACTGTGCTAAGGGCTACACTAAAGGAGCTGAAAGACAAGCGTGTTTCAGAAACCAGTTTGAATTTTCAGGAAACACACATTAAAGAATTTACTTCACTCACCTTTTTCTTCAGTGCTCTTGTATATGCCTCACTATTAGCAAAATAAAGAGATGTATTAGCTTGAAATATTTTGATTCCAGGATATTCTTTAACCTAAGGAAAATATTGGATGTGAACAATTAAACAGAATAAAAGCCCTTCTGTAATCATAAGACACATGAACATGCAGCAGTGCAACAGCCAACCCTGGATGGCTCTCAGCATGTGCCAGATAAAGAAGGTTGGCACTATTGTGAGCAAAGGCAACCAGGAGATCAGAACCTCCCCCTTTCCCAGTGCAATACTGCACACTATCAATGCCTGGTAACATTTCTCCTTCTATATGACATCAAAATGTCCAGCCATAAAAATTAAATATTTGCAGTTCTTTCATGTTGCTATTTGCAGCTGATATTCCATGGGGAAATCATGCACTCCTAGAATTGCTTCCTTTTAGCCTCCCTTTCAACAGGCATAATAACTTATTTCCCTCTTTCTCTCTTTTTCTTTCTTGACTCCCCAGGTACCAAGAAAAGCAACCTTTCAAATCTTTGGTTTTATCCAGACCTTCAGACAGGTCTTGATATTCACTTCCCTCCCCTACTTAAAATGTAGTCATCTCTAAACAGGCTGAACTGTGACATTTTGCATGCAAATGACCTGGCCAGCAACAGAGACCCAGCCTGCCATATGCTGCCAACCCCACCTTTACCCAGGAGGAAATGCTGACTGCATTCAGTGTAACAGAAATGGAGTCTCCTCTCCTTTGCTTACAGATATGTGAGCACTCATACTCCTGCGTTGCATATTTAAAACAGAACTGCACAATCTTTTTCCATAGGTTTTTACAGACTAGTTTCTCAGTATAGGACTATGTAACTTTCATAGCAGCATCTCTGAGAACATAGCAAAGAATGCAGAAAATTGTAGCTGTTGTTTGGGAATAAGTACAACATGTTTATATCCACCACCCTGACAAAATGCAATGCTTTCATCAACTTTTAGTTGAACAAAATGGCATTTATGAGAAACTAAGTGTATGGTGAGCAATTGTGCTATTAATCACATATATTTAATGAGCAAGGGATGGGTGGGATGCTGTTTGGAACAGTTTGTGCAATTCTGAAGAACATACAAGTTTGGATCCTGGGTTCCATGGATTCTATGCACTACTGCCACACAAATGTAGAAGTATGCACTTGTTTACATGGCAGGTTTAGCACTGGAATTCCTAAACACTGGACAATGGAGCTAGTATAAAAGTACTTCTGAACACTGACTGGTGAAATGTATGTGCAGTACAAAGAACTTGCATTCTGAACAAAGCAACTTTTACGACTAAACTCAAATTTATTTTGGTCCTTTCAACACAGGTGAATGCTCAGCAGCCAGCCCTGCATGTGCAGTGTGGTAGGACAAAGCAGCAAATTGCCACAGCTGTCTTTGCTCCACTGAATGAAACTCCTCAATGCAGAAGAACATGTTCCTACCTCTTCGTACTCTTCCACATCACAGTAGATGTCAGTGTTAGGAATCTGACCAAGGATTCTGTATTCAGGGCTAGAGAGAAAGGAAACAATATTTCTGTATTGTCACTTATAAAGTGGAAAAGTGAGTGTTTAACACATACTGAAACTTATTTAAAATGGTCACTCTGCAAGGCCTGTCTGGTACAGAATTATCTAAACATGGTCAAATGCAGTGAGCAGCTTATGGCAGAACACAATTAAAAAAAAGTTGTTTCTGTCAGTGCAAAATCAATTTACAAGATTAGTGCTGGAATGTTGTCATTTGCTGAAAAGCATGAGTCAAAGCACGCAAAAGTACAGGGCAAATTCCCTGTTACCCCAGGACAAACATCAACTGGTGCGGCTCTCTTGACTGCCCTGCAAATATGCAAGCTCATACTGACAGAAAACATGCTGCAATTTCAAAGAGCCACTCTGCTCTCAGGACAATGCTTAAGCAGATAAATATTCCCAACTCACAAGAACTCTGACAGCAAATTACATTACTGTTCTGTTTGCAAGAATAAAAATGTATAGAGATGGCAGAAAAATACTCTTATTTATGCAGAGTGGAAATCTCACAATTTCACTCCAATGCAGACAGAACCAAGACTTTTACACAGTCTCCACCTTTACAATGTTCCAGACCTTGAGCCCAGAGGCCTCACATGCCAGTCCTATGCACACATGCAAGAAATCATTTCACTGTAGACCTGGAAAGCTTCACAGTAAGAACTTTGTCACTTTGAATGGGGAGAAGTGACTTGAAAACTAGAACAGTCACCATATTTTATAAATTAGAACTTTCTTTTAAAATACCTAAGCATTCATCCCATGATAACTTGACAACCTCACATCAGCTTGTCTGTGACAATTAGTGCACACAAAATGTGATAATGTACTGAAACTGGCAGGAAGAAGATTTAAAGTTCTAAATGCTAAGCATTAAAAGAAGTAAACAAGAAGATTAACCACTATGTAAAATGAAAAATCTTCTGTTTATTACTGAGAATACAAGTTCATGCCCTCTGAAAATTTTGTTCTCAGAAAAAGAAAATGTGAACCCTGGATCAGAGCCAAAGGGCATGACCTATATTAGGAAGGAAGTTCCATTCATCATGCAGTTGAAGAGGGTGGGATGGACTTCTGGTTTTTTGCACCCCTTTAGCAAACAAAACCACATAGAACATCAGCAAATATTAATTTTGATAAAGAAGAAATCTGACCTTTGTGTTCTGTAAATAACGGTTATCATTGCAAATGTTACTGCAGTAAGCAAACCATAGTCTAGTCCCAGAAAGAGAGAAGCCACAAAAGCTGCCACCCAGATAGCCTAAAACAAAAAAAAAAAGTGTGAGTTATTATGCATCCTCTTCCCTGTTAACAACTAAAACAACAGCAGAATCCAACCTCAAAACCTATGTATCACTTCTGATCAGGAATAGGCTCTAATGTAACCCATCATGATGCCAGACAGGAATTGCCTTAACTTTTCAGAAGGGCATAGAAGCTCAAGGCACTCTAACATATGGCAAACTGTCACATATTAATTAATGCCTTAAGTCCTGTTCTCCAAGGAATCTTGTTCTACCATCATCAGACTCCAAATAACTTAAGATTAAAAAAAAATATTCAAGGCTTGCAAGTAGCTCTAACTCAGTTCCATCAGCCAGTTCATCCAGGAGAGGAATGCCACCAAAATGTTCCCTCCAATACTGCTCTTAGATCTGGCCCACTCCAGCCAGATTTTTGGTTTGTCTTAAAAGATGGCAAATACCTTCAAGTGGTTTTCTTTGTTACTCTGTTTTCAAATTCTTCTCAGACGTTCCCACAGCCTTCAGGGTAGTTTCTATAGCAAAACTGCCAGAGCTTTTGCTTTTACTGCAACCAAACTACTTCTGACCTGAATTATAAGATTGCTGAGCAACAACAAAAATATTCTTGTCCCTGACAGATCACGCTCCCAGGGTACTTACAGCTCCCTAACTTACATTCACCTGGAACACAACACTAATTTGTAATTCCTGGGTAAGTTTCTATTCCATTTTGGGGACAGCAACAAATGTAGTATAGTAAAATATATGCACTGAGATGTGCAATACTCACCAGCTCAATCTTACTGGTTCTCCAGAAGTGCATGACATCTCCAAACTGTTTAAGCATTCCCTTCAGGTTCACCATGACAATTGCAGCTAGCACTGTCTAAGAACATTACAGAAATGCCATTTTCAGAAGCAAAATAAACCCAGTGCCAAATAAGAACTACAAAGAATCACAAATAACTACTTCTGTGCTTTATAACTGATGTAAGTCCACTGAACAGATGTTCTATTTAAAAAGCCACAGCTTTTCAGGTAGTTCAGTGGACATGTGCTTTTACTGCAGCTGCAGAATTGGCAAACCAATTCAGTTCAGTTTGATTTACTCTTTCCTAGCAAGAGGAATCACATGCTCCTACACTTCATGCTGCTACACTTACAGTGCCTGAAGAAGTAGACTATAATCTCAAATTCATGTTTCTCTACAATATACTGAAACAATTCCTGAAAGTCATATGGTTGTAACCCAAGGTCCAACTCCTATATCAAGAAACAGGAATTGTCTATCATCCTTTGCACATCACAAGAAACACATTTTTTTAAAATTCAGAAATATACTTTTTCATAGAAATATATTTTTATACAAGTAAGTATAAACTGCAGCAAACCCAACTCATTATGCTGAGCCATTATCCAGCCCCAGCCTTCTACCAGCCAAGCTGTGACTTTCTTTTAACTTTTTAACTTAAACCCAGAATTCTTATGCTGCAATCAAATGCATTCAGCAGGACCAGGGCAGTAACTGACCCCCTGTGCTCAGCACTGGTGAGGCCACACCTCAATCCTGTGTTTGGTTTTGGGCCCCTCAGTACCAGAAGGACACTGAGGTGCTGGAGAGAGTTCACAGAAGGGTAGTGGAGCTGGGGAAGGGTCAGGAGCACATGTCTGATGGGGAGCAGCTGAGGGTGTTTAGTCTGGAGAAAAGGGGGTTCAGGGGTGTGATCTTATCACTCTCTATGGCTGAGAGGAGGCTGTGGCCAGGTGAGGATTGGACTCTTCTTGCAAAATAAAATGTGACAGAATGACAGGAAATCACCTCAAGTTGTGCCAGGGGAGGTTTAGATTGGATGTGAGGAATGGTTTCTTTACAGAAGTGTTTGTCAAGAATCGGAACAGGCTACCCAGGAAATGGTTGAGTCACCATCCCTGGAGATATTTAAAGCACGTAGATGTGGCACTTAGGGGCATGATTCAGTGGTGGGCTTGGCAGTGCTGAGTTAACAGCTGAACTCAGTGATCTTAAAGGTCTTTCCAACCTAAACAGTTCTAAAGGGGAATTGCTTGAAGGTATTCTTATGCTCTAAAGATAGAGTCCGGGATATCCAATACTAAAAACAACAAAAAAAAAATCATGCTGAATTGTTCAAAACATTATTTATTTCTAAGTTAATTTACAGCAAAAAACGCATACACAAAATTTAAAGGTTTCTGAATCAAAGCCTAGCTGTTGTTCACTGACTCTCCCACAATCTCAAGTTTTAGCAATAGTCATGGGTCTCTGTTCACAGCCAATGCAATGCCTAACATGCAATACTCCCTTACCTGTGGAAGTGGTTCAAAAAGGTATCCAATAGCCACAATTACCAACAGAACCATAACCGCAGAGAGTGTACCTGCAATCTGAAAAAAAAAAAAAAAAAAAAAAAAAAAAAAAAAAAAAAAAAAAAAAAAAAAAAAAAAAAAAAAAAAAAAAAAAAAAAAAGCCAGTGATTATTCAGAAGTGTTCCCAAGAGGAAATGTTACCGATTAGCAAACCCCTTGTGCTTTCAACAAGGCTGGTTGTTCAAATGACTTCTGATTCCTTCCATTCAGTTCACCCATTTTGCCTATCATTCCATCCTATCAATTAACTGGAGTTTCCCATGTTTCAAATCGAGGCCCAGTCTCGATTTGAAACATGGGAAACTCCAGTTAATTCTTCTGACTCAGGCAGAGAACTATGGCCATCTAGATAAGCTTCAGACTTTAGTTGTGGAGCTCCAAAGAGTAACTTTGTTTGGCTCAAGATTTGGGTGTTCTACATACCTGAGTTTTTCCACCGGTGCTTTCCTGGACAAGACTCCGAGACATTGAGCATGTGATTGAAATGGTTTGGAAAAATGACCCCACAGAGTTGCATATTCCCAAAGCAATCAGCTCCTGTGTTAAACAATAGAGCAAAGATAGCCAAATATACACTTGTATTTAGCAGTGGTACCAAGCTGGAACTATCCACAGATATTAACAACCACCACATCTTATTTACATTCCTTTCTAGCAACTTCATTGTAGAGAATAAGCAACCTAATTGTAGCTTATACTTGTAGTTCTCACACAAGCACAAACTAATGCATGTAAAGTCATCTGTTAAATAAAGTCTCTGATGAAATGCTGGAGACATTTCCTATCCCTAAATGTTACAAGAATTAATCAGACTGAAAATGAAAGTGAATGACAGCACTGCTTGTTTTAAGAATTTCTTAATCTTGGGGATAATTTGAATTTTAACCCTGAATATACATGACAAATGTTTTCTCATGCAAACACCTTTCTTTGCTTCCCACCCTATGTGTTTGAAACCAAGAGCAGCCCTGCCTGTGTTTCCATGAGTAGTAATCCATTGCTGTACATGAAAAAAGTAGTGTCTGCTGCTTCCTCAGGAAGATCCCACATGAGAACTGCTCCCATGAGTGAGGTCAGGAGATCCATCTACCTCAGTACTGCATTTCTGATGCCTAAGAAATTATTTGCTTGTAATGAAGCCTCCTCAAACTACTCTGCATCTTGTTATTTGTAACAGACTGATTTGAGTCATACATTTCCAATAGTTCTCAATGAGTTTTTCTCTTTGTGTTCATACAATCCTTTTAGGATTCACTTTAACACTTGGCATGCCCTGCTACTGGAGTGCTACACTTTAACACCCAGGTGAAGCAGCATCTGGCACCTCCTGAGGAAAAGGTTTAGATGTTTAACTTGGGTCAGCGAGGATTATGTTTAAGGTAAATAGAGCCAACTACATTCATGCAGCTAGAGATTTGTCTTCTTCTCTCTTTAGGTAACAGAGCACAATGACATGAAGGATGAGATTCACCTGACCAGATGTAAAACTTTGTAGGTAAATTTCATTACTTTCAGAGAAAGGCAATCATTTTAATAAGAGGGGGAAGCTGATCTATGCTGTGTCAGATGTGTCTGTAGTAGATGTGTTACAGCACAGGAACTCTGCCTCCCTTGACACTACAATGATATCAACCAACAATCCAATTGAAGTATTGATTCTAAACTGTGCAGGGAAGGCCAGAGTAGGTGAGGAGGACATATAATTTTAATTTTAGGGAGTCCTAAACACAGTCCTTATCACTCAAATCATGCTCAGAATGCTAAGTACAGATAGGGCCAATTGCTGCCCCAGAAAATGACAAGCTTCCCATTTGCAATGGGTGTGAATAAAAAGAAAATATAAAACATAATTGGAATTTTTAAACTCTAGACAAGAAATCTTTAACACATAAGGTACTGTATTTATCACATGGGACCTCTATGCTTTGCTCTATTACAGAAAGCAGTGGAAATGTAGCTGCTCATCAGGACAGTATGGCCAAGTAATGTCTGCCTCAAAAATAAATAGTCATGCGTATTTCCAAGTATAGTAGGCTTCTTAAAATGAAGCTAAAAGTGAAACTGGTTATTTAAACACAGCCAGAAGAAGAACTTAAACTAATTCCTGACCTTTAAATGTGTAGGCTGCCAAAAATCTGGCCTGATTTCACTATTGAAAAAAACCCTCATTTTTGCCAATATCACACTCTAATGATATAACAAAGGTGCTACTGAGAATTTTCAACAAAGAAACCCCACTACTTTTACCTGATTCCCATCAATGGTGTAACCATGTTTAAGGGCAAAGATCTTGGCCATTGACACAGCCATTGAAAATCCAACTATTGCTATTGCTACTGCATCCACAAATACTGCTGGGATTAGATGAATCTCAGGAACTGCTGGTGCACGTAACCTTGAAGATGAAATTAATATTTATAAATTAATATAAGAACTATATGCGATACAGAAAAGCCACAGTCTTAATAAGAATATATCATCCCTACCCTTGAGGAATATTCCCAACAACATCCACTTTGTATGACTCATTCAGATTCATTCCATATGAAACTCCTGTGCCAATAATGACCTAAAAATCCACAAACACATTTGTAAACATTATTTAAAAAGAGAAAAAGTCACTTGAAGAGATATAAAGGTTAGCTGACTATGATTAATAAACACAATAGATTACATTTATGTGTCAATCAGTTTTCTATGAGTTCATATTCTATGAATTATGTTCAATGGAAGTTACTCTCAAACTCAGTAAGATAAGATAGAACATGAGATAGTTTCTACAGCTTTAGAATAGCTATATAATTTAGCCATAGAATTTCCCAACTGGCTTACCACAATGATCTCCATAGGAATAGGAACTGGGAGCTTCTTCTTAAAGCGGAAATTGATCTCCTTGCCAATCAGCAATAGAACAATGCATGTTAATCCAACGATAAATGCAGCAATATTGGTTGTTGTTATTTTTGAAAGCACGGCAGCTATGCTCTGTAACATACCAGAAGCATCATAATTATTCTTAAGAAAACAGAATCTTCATGAAGATTTTCCACAAAAGAGCAAATTATACATTGCTTTTCAGCTGTGGTGTCATTCTAAATTTATAACCACAGTGAATGAGGGCCTCACCAAAATACCCATTGTTCCTATAAAACACAGAAGACTGGAGTATCTCAGTGAGAAAAATGCACTTGAATATTTTACAATATCAGTGTTCCTTAAAGGGGGAAAATATTTGGAGAAAAAACTTTAATGGGATAAAAAGCCTAAACTAAACCACGTCTCTCATCCTCAACATTTTTACGCATATTCCTCAGTGGCTACCTGAAAGTAATAAATGTAAGCTCCTTCTAATACCTTCAAATATTCTTTGGCAAGTCACATTTACTTAGAGCTGCATAAACTGCTCTAAAACAATAAACCTGCTAATAGAACTATTGAGGTTGCCATAACAATATGGCTAAGTAACAGTGATCCTGCAATGCTGCTGAACTGGCCATTATTCCAAATACCTTCTAATTGAAAACACTTACTAAAAAGGTGTAAGAAAAAACCTGCTGGAATACACAAGTTGCTAGAGGGTAAATAATTGTCCATACTGATTATTCCTCCTTCTTGAACTGCATTAAAATAAATAAATAACCTCTGGGTTAGAGGTGTTTGAAAGAAAATGAACATACTCTCCTTTATGCAGATTGAAAATTGCAACAACTGTCAGGATGCTATACATTCAAGATGTCCTGGTAGTATGCATCTTGAATTTATAACTTCTCTTCTATTTGTTTGGCAAATAGTATGACTAGTTCCCAGTTTTGTGAACTGAACTGCAAATTTTGGAATTAACCATTAATGCAGACTTGTTTGCAAAAGGTGTGTTATATCTGCAAAAACATACAAAAAGATTCCCACAAAGTATTTTCTATAACTTGTATAACATGTAGATGAAATCCTGAATCTTTATTATTGCTGAGCCATCAATCTGCTCAAAAGCTTAGGTTTTTACAGACATCTGAGATCTTCCTTTTTCTTCCAGTTAAGAATGGGAAGATTCTGAGAGTAACATTTCCCAGCTTTGCAGAACATGCCTGATTTACAGTGAAGCATTTCAGGAGCACAGTTCCCCCCAAGGCACAAGAGATTTGCTTCAATGAACAATATTTCTTCATATTAGGAAACTACATTCAGCAGAATCCCAAAATCTGCCCATCTCAGACAGTGTGGATCTATCCAGTCACCCTCGGGCTGTACTTTCAGATATTCATATATTGCTATGGCACTTAACAACCTCATACCCAGTGTTCAATACTGATGATTATTCTACTTAGTGCCAAATAATACATAAAAACAGGAAAAAGCTTAGGAACTACATCCAGACAACACAGAATTTTCATGCTTAGTAAGTGCAGTTACTCACATATACAACTGAGAGGGGCCCGCTGTACCGGCTAGTCTTGATACCAAGGAGATACTTTAACTGGGAAGTAAAGACATGAACTGCAGCTGCAGTGGTAAATCCTCGCACCAGAGGCTCCGTTAGATAGATAGACAGAAATCCAAATCGAAGGAAACCTAAACACAGCTAATGAAAAAGAGAAGTGTCAGCCATGTGACTCCCACTATAGTCTGGATATAGCACACACCCACACACACCCCTCTCCTTTCCTCAGCGCCCAAACCAGATCAGGCAAACCTGAACTTGGCTTTTCTAAAGTCACGGTTCAGTAAGCTGTGATCAATGCACCCAATCTTCCATGCCACTGGCAGGTCCAGTGTGAGATATGGGTATGTATATATACATTGTTTGTGTGCATTTATGGACAGATTAGAGAAAGTCAGCTGAGTTTTTCTGATGGGATAGGAAAAAAGGAAAAGGGGGAAACTCCTGTTTTTTTCCACTACAGCCAAGATGCCAGATAAAGCCCAGCCTCCAATGCATCCATCCCCAGTTCTGTGATGTGGCTGCCATAAAGCAGCCTGTGTCCCACACAGAGCAGTGCAGAAGCACAAGTCTGGTTACAGGGGATCCACCATGACCCAGCACCCCCTGCAAGTCCAAGAGCAGCAGCTGCCCTTACAGCAAACTGTGAGCACATACCTGGATAATTCCTGAAAGAAAGGCGAGAGCCACAGCTACTTGCACCCTCTTGCTATCCCTAGCACTGTAATACTCAAGGACATCTGTAGTATTAGTAGAATTAGAGTCCAGAGAAATAATTTCATCAGGTACTTCTCTCACAGCAACACTACCAACCATCATACTAACCACAGCAAAGGTGCCTGAAATAAGAGAGAGGGGAAAAGAATTGCTTAAAATCTTGGCAAGTCGTTTTTTCAGGAGTGATTCTTACTGAGATATATAGAATTAAACCAAGAGTTTTCTACCTTAATAATGTATTTTTTAGTCCCCAGATCTGCTCCAGTACTCAGCACCATTAAAGCCAGATAGTGAACATACACCTCTGCAGCTGATAAACACCATCATTTTTTTTTCTATCTCAGTTTCTATTTTCACTTTAAGGATTCATTTCATTGGCCACACCACAGGATTTTGCAGCACACATTTCTAGATCTAATTTGATACAAGATGCTCTTCTATGGCTTCCTAAGTAAAATGGATAAGCTAAGAATTTTAAAAAAGTACTGCTTATGTTCCACACATTTGCATTTCTCCTATGCACTTAAATTTGAATTTATGGAAAAAACTACACTTTATACTTCTCCAATTTTATTTTTTAGAGCTTTATCAAAAACACACACATACATACAGACAGATTTTCAGTTATCCATACAGATATACCTATTGATATGTGCTTGGAGGTTCCAAAGAAAGTATACAGAAGAACAGGATAAAATGAAGAATATAGGCCGAATACTGGGGGAACAGCTGCCAGCAAAGCATAGGCTAAACCTAGAAAACAAATATGTATGTTAAGCAAACAACAAAAATAAAACATCTGAAGTGAAGGGATTTAAGTCTACTAAAACTGAACACACCTAATAGGAATTCTAGAGACTTGTCCCAGGTTTAAAAAACAGGAGATCTTTCAGTGAATAGTCTTTAAAATGTATAATATTCTAGGGCAGTGCCTAGAAACATGACGGGTTGAGTCAGGAAACCAAAGTCTCTAATTACAGGCACTGCAGGTGTGTGTGTGTTTGTGTGTACACTTGTGCACCTGTTTTGCCTTTGTGGGTGGAAGCACTCCTTAATGGCCAACAAATGATTTTTGTTGCTTTTGTTTTCATCTGAAGAAGAATCTAGTTAGAAACATGCAAACCCTCATAACAAGTGGGACACATTTGACTTTCTTTCCTTTGCTGATCAGACATGGTGTTCATGGCAACCCCTAACTGACTAAACACTTTCCTCCTCCCTCACCTCAGAATGACGGGGGTAACATAACAGTTCATGTTTTCACAAAACATGCTTTAAAATGTAAAATAAGTAGAGAACTTCTGACAATCTGTAAGGTCAGAGAGCTTATGCAGTCTGGTATTCTTCCCAAAAACAAAGCAGTTTCTGTCATTAAGCCCTGTCCAGTCCCGTGCAGTGGAATGCAATCCACATCGTTCCCATCTGTAGTGGTGGCTGGCAAACACAGCCGTGCAGCTCTAAGGGACACACCAGGGAAGAGCATCTCCCACCCTCTGTGTGACCCAAGGTGCACTTATCATGGGACCAGGCTCACAAGTGATCATCATGTAATATGGCACATAACTATCCCAAGCAGTTCCAGCCAAAACAACAGCTCTAGATAGTTTGTGTTAATGAGAATTGACACCAGAACAGAATAAATGGGCCCCAAGGACAAAACACTGTATCCTGGATTGGCTTGGTTCTGCAGTCCCACAAGTGCAGGCTGGTAACACCTGTGTGTTCTTGTCACACTTGGGTAGATTGGTCAAAGTGAGGAGTAAAAATCTCAATGTACCAGTGCAAATTCCAAACATAAGCAATGGTTCACCCACCACGGAGAGCTAGTGATACTCAAAAACACCTCTCCCTAATAATTTAAATTGGGAGACAAAGCATCACATTACAAAAAGAAGCAAAAAAACCAAACAAACAAACAAAAAAAAAGAGTTAAACCAAAGGGTTCTTTTGTGCTATCCAAGTGCTCTTGTGCAGTGTAGTAAGTCACAGGGCCTTGTTCTAGCCCTAAGCAATATCTGAGTCCTTACCAAAAATTCATATTCTCACCTAAACTGGACTTGATTCTCTTGCTCAAATGAGCATTTCATTAAGTACTTGTGAAACTCCTCCCACATATCTTCTCTCACCCAAGGGGTACCTCTCCTGACACCAGCAAACACCCTGTACTGTAACAGCCTGGCCTTCAATATGATGATGAACTTAACAGTACAAGTAACCAGAACTGAAAGTCAGTGTTCAAAACTGGAAGGGTGGGTCTATGTGAAGTTCCTGATCTGAATACCCTTTTATTCCCTTTCATTTGTACTGGCATTTTTAGAGACTGTCAGTGCCAAGAAAATAAAGAGATATTGACCTGATAGGAGGCCATGGATTAAACACCGTGGTCATTGTAGTGCTGCCTGGAATGATTCCCAGGCTTCTTTGAACCCATGATTGCTATAATTACATCCATTCCAGAAAACTGAAAGTTCAGCTTTTGTGTTTTTAGAAAGGGAAAGATTAGGAGCAGTTTAAGGGCATGTCTATGGGCGCCAAATGAATAATGTTTACTTCTAAGAAGGGTGAAAAATGAAGTATAAAGTTCACTGCTGACCACTTAAATTTTAGTGTTCTTTCAGGTCATGACATAAATTATGTTTCTGTATACAACTGACAGTGTTTGTGTCTAGTACATGACAGATATGCCTGAGAGTTAACCACATTAGCTATCAGTTTAAGATAAGTTGATGCTTCCATGTGCGGAAGAAAAAATAAACTTAATCATAAAACTCACACAAAACCAGGAAGATACAGTAATAAAGAAATTATCTGCACAGACTAAGTTAGGGTATTTTATTATTTTAATGGGTTACCTCCTATTAAAATCTTGGATTTACAGATGACTTTTTCAGACCTGCTCCAGCCTAAAGTGGAACAAGTAAGGTGCAAATATGAGATAAATCAACACAAAGTAAACTTATATATGCCTAATTACATCACCCTCTGGACAAGGCTCTGCACAAATCAAAGAATTTCTTTGATTCCAAGACCTCCAGGAAAAATCTACTGAGGCTGTGGCAGCTATTGTGACGCTGCCACTCCCAGAGCAGTGGGAACCTCATAATGATATTTCTGTAGAGGCGGTGCTGCTTTCTAACCTCCTAACACTTCTAGAACTGCTAATAGTAAGTGCTGGGCTAAACAAAAGATTCTACTGGTCCATTCACCAAAAACTGAACAGTTGAGTGAACACTGGCTTTCTCTGCCTTCCAGAACCTGCTCCTGCTTCAGGATTGGCCTCCACTTAGGCTGACACTTTCAAGTAATTTCAAAGAAATTTCCACAGCTTTTCAGTCTTGTTACAGACAATACTTTTTATTTAATTATACCATGTAAATCATTGCCTGCTACTATGGTTCCAGTATAAACTGGTGACTTCTAGCCTTAGGGATCACTCTGAATTCTTATATGTTCTTTGGTTAAATTTAGTTTGGTTATTTTGCCTCAGTTGCTCCCTGAAACATAATGTCTTACATGTCTGCTACCCTCTGCAGGAAATTTGCCATGACTTTCAGGACAATGAGATCAGTAAATAATAGGTGCATTCAGCAAAAGTTTGGACATGCACTTAAACTGTGAAAAGTTGGTCTGCCATTGAGAGCTGCGGATACTGATTGGAGAGGGAGCTTTTTCCAAGTTTGGTGCGTATCACTGACTCACAGTTTTACGGGAATCATCATTCTGGGCTGGTCTGCAGAATCCATGCTGACCTTCACAGAGAGCCCTGAGACACATCCTGCTCTCAGGAGCACCTCAGAATATCAAGAACTGCCATAAAAGTATACATAGAAAAAGTAAAGAAGGGATCATTAAATACAGAGGTACACTCACCTTGAGGAAGCTGCATGACCCCAGTGCTAATACCTGAGATTATGTCTCCCAGTAAGTATTCCTTCACTGGGTAACGAGGCAGCCATTTTAAAATCGGTAAGAAACTGTAAAGATGAGACTTGGCTTTCTTAGAAGAACAACTGTAATTACAAAGCAAAAAGAAAGTTAGATAGTAGCAGGGGACAAACAAGGTGCAAAAATTGTCTTTCAATCCCTATACAGGAAAACAGCTCCTTTACAGGCAGGCTCAGGCTCCTGATGACAGTAATTTGTGGACATGCTTAAGCACAAACAACTATGCCTCCAGTTAATTTAGCCCTTAATCATGTGTTAGTGCTGCTGACAAACCTTACGGAACTAGAGAAGAGAACAAGTCTTGTGAGGCTGGAGGTCAGTGGGAAGTAAAACTGTTCCAGTCTATGCACATTTGAGTGGTCACACAACACCTTTTACTGAGATCATTCCAAGTAACAATCCCCTGAGAACAACTTGCTTCCTGATAGTGGTTTTCACTCATCAGAATACTTTGCAGCGCTTCTTCCCATTTCTTATTTGCATACTTTATACTTTTTTGATCATAATATTTTATATTATCATGCCTTAAAAATGCCAAATCTATTAATTTAACCATTTAATAATAATACATAATTTAATAGTACTTATTACTATCACTACCAGTACTGATAGACCCACTTTCAGGCTATTTCAGAACATAACCCTTCTTCACCCAGAAAGGAAAGGCACTGAAGCCAGCAGCACTGACCCTTGGGACTCTTAGCAGAGCTATTAACCTTTTGAAACCCTGACTCATGACAAATGAATAGAGCCAGGAAACACATATCTCTACCCAGTACTGCCTTGCATCATACCTTGATTGTACTGTGGTAAGTTTAACCTTGGCTAAAAATGTAACACAGTGATTGTATAAATGCTTTTCTGTGTCAGGGAATTGCAAGAGAATTGCAGAGATTTGTTAGCATTTCTGAATTGCACAGTGAAGCATCTTGTTGCTAAAAGTGAGAGAGTCATCCACACTTCTCTATGGTTAAGTAGACTGTATCACAAAAAGGAGGATTTTGATCCACTTTATTTTAATTCAGGACAGACAAGTTTTCTGAGGTAGAATTAATTGTCTTTACCATGGAAGTCATTGCATAAACCAAAGCTAATCTTCAAATGTCAAATCATGTGAATAGGAATGTTTTATAGAAAAGGAATTCTGTTGTCCTGCAGAACAAGGTTTGAGAAAGAAATGGAAAAAACTCGGCAAGTGAAGCATGGAAAAACATAAAGCTAATGACAACTTAAATCCTCTTCTACCATGAAGCAAGAGAAACACAGTTAAAAGACATTTCTAACCAGATGATACTTAGATTCCAAGGCAGTTAATTAAAAGCTAGAGAATGCCTTTAGTAAGTTCTTATTAGACTAATATTTAAATTTCTACACAGCTATAACACATCTCCATTCTTCTGTGAAAGGATCATGTGAAGCACAAATTTGGCCATAAGTATTTCCACATAAGGACAGATATTTTTCTGGGTCTTATGAATTCATGTCACGTGATTTGACTAATACTTCACATTGCTATGCTGTGTATTTTCCTTTTGCACTTTGATGAAGGCAATTCAACTAATTTATCAAACATTTTCTAATATAGCTCTCTATTAACATTAAAAGCATACACACAGCTTTTTCCCAGTCTTGCTGAATTGTCAAAGTAGAATTAGTGGTTTTATCTTTTAGGTTTCTTTGATGAGATTACCAGCTAAGTGCATGAATCAATTAAGAATTATAATATTTCTAACCAATAAAACAAAGATAAGACAAAAAACCCTACCGACAAGAATGTGCAATCTTCTGCCCTAAAGTCTGAGGGGTTCTCTGTCGTCTGTGCAGCTGTCCTTGCAGGAGCTCCTGGTTGTATATTGGTCTCTGCACACAATACCTCTGAGTTTGCTCAAGACATGCCTCTTGTTCTTGAGCATGTTCCATACTTGATCTCACAGAGCAGCAGCGAAGGAGGAACAGTTCCACAATCTCCACCAAAAAACCTGGTTGCAGACAAAATAAGTTTGGTTTCTTTTTTAACATCAGATTTCGTATTTCCTTTCAAATAATGTATTTTAATAAGCTAGAGGCAAGAACTGTGATTGGAGTCTAATTAAACAATCTGTAACAGCAGTAAGAAAATAAATGACACTCAGTCTTTAGTATATGTAAGCTATTAATTTATGCTTCTCTTGTATAATGAAAGCTTTCTAATTAATTTCTTTGTAAATAAGAGCTGAAACTAACTAAACTAACTTGGAAGGTTGTACTCATGTTATCTGGATTTTTCCTCAGTTTTTAAAGAAGAGGAGGGAGATTCCTTTATTGCTGATTTACTTCCTGCTTACTCATAAACTGGCCTGTCCATTTTCAAAAGGCAGAACTCTGACTTGAACACTGAGAAACCCATGCTTTCCTCCAGATTGTCAGTTGCTTCCTGCATCCATCCACCTGCCTTCCTCTCTGTTTCAGAAGCTTCTTTTTCCAAACAGCATCTCAAGAATACACAATTCACTACTTTCAAACAGCTATTATTTCACTGGATGTGATACTTACTGCTATTCTCAATCTGCACTGACTAAAACAGGAATCGGGAGATGTGCCCAGTTTTAAAACTAGCCAGAAGGTTTGTAAAGATCTATTTGTCTGTCTGATTCAGTGCCACAAACATCTTAACATGTTTAAAAGACACTCCGCTAATTCCACTGCCCCATGTTTGCTGCTTTCAGAAATACTGGGCAAGAAACACACTCCTGATTCTGAGCAAAGTGACAGGACCACTATGTTGTTAGGCAGAGATGCTGGCTGGTGCCACGTTTGATGACAGAACGTGAGTGCAGTGGGAAACAGAGCCATCGTTGTGAACAAGGCCTTGGGCTCAAGTCCAGCAAGTCACTTAAGCATGTGTTTGCCTTCAACCAAGGGTGTTAACCCAGGGGTGTTCTGTTTTTAGCTGTACATCAATACTTTTCTGGGAAAGGGTTACCACGCAGAAATTAAACAAATTGCTACCTAAGCACTCAGACAAAGCTAACCATGATTGGTCCAACATTCCGATTCAGCAAATACAGTCAGACCATCAGCAAAATATCAATATTGCTATCTATGTCTTCACTCTGATGAAAGTGCTGGAATTTTCCACTCAGGTCTTGGTAATATCTATTTCCTAGAACTGACACAGCCTAGCATCTCTTCAGTTCTCAGTATTTTGTAAGCAATACTTTCCCTACGTTGTCAGTCATGAAAGGATATTTCTACTAACACTGTAATTTTTCATTTACTGCACACTCTAGATTGACTTCAACTTTATTGCGTGAAATAAAGGTAATCCTGCTTGAGCAGGAAGGTTGTAATCTATGATCCTCAGAAGTCCCGTCAAGCCTCAACTATTCTGGGATTCCATAATGATCCCTTATGCCATTATTCACATAGAATCTATCTTCTCCAGTAATGAATTGATGTGTTCTGGCAACATTGGCCGTATCTACAAATTAAGAAGCAATTTTAATCAGTCCTAAACAGAAAATTCACTCAAATCAGAACAAAAACTGCAACTACATGGAAAAGACCAAATCAGTTCAATGACTTGATTTTGGCTAAACTTCTCAAATAAAATGAGAATGCAATATCAAAACATTTTTATCCAAGGCTTTAAAAACACACACCCTGTCTTCTTTTTGCTACAAAGGACAGCAGCACAAAACAGCGCCCTGCTAAGCCAAAACAATTCAGGTCCTGAATTTCCACCTTTGAGTTTGGTCAGCTTCAAGTAGATTGGTTAATATATGCAAGAACCACATGATCTTGTAATATAAATCTAGACCGGGAGAGGTTTGGAGGTCTCCAGTTTTGTACACATGTTCCAACTCTTCCAGGTACTATAAGCATATACAGAACAATAGAAATTCCATCCTGCCTTTGCTTTTCATGGTAAAACAAATTATACAAATGCTGTATTGGACTAACTTAACAAAGCCCAACTCCAAATCAGTTATCAAGACCATGGCAAGTGTTAGTTTGGAATACTACCAGAGGTCACTACCCAAGTTTCACTATCACTCAGTATGAAGGTTTTTAAACTGTAGATTGAATGTTTCTGATTCTGTTAAAGTAAGGAAGTTGCACTGCACTGAATCATGAGAACCAGCTAAATCAAAAGTAACTTCAGGGAGGATATTATAGGATCTTGTCTTTACATTCACAGTGGATACAAGAATATGGAAAACAAATTACAAGTCATTACAAGAGATCCTGTATTTACCTAAAACTACTGCTGGATATATCACACTCTATTTTTCGATGTCATTTCACCAACTTCATCTTAACAGCCCTGCATAAGCATGTTCCTTGACGGCAACCTAAAATACTACGATGTAGACAGTACAGTAACAAATTTTTTAATATCATCCCTCTCTTTTGCAAAAGTACACAGAGAACAAGATTGAGATGCTTTTTCTTTATGAGAGATTATACACATTGTCCATTGAGTAGCAAAATAGTAACATTTCATAACTGGTTCAACTGTCTCTCCAAGTGTTTGCTGTATGACAAAGCGGCAACACAGTTATCCAAGGCTCAGAAACTGAGTATTGCCCTTCACTCTCAGAACGCTTGAAGAAGAGCAAAAGCAAGGAACTGCTGTTTTCATGAAAAGAAAGCTTACTGCTATGATTTCTGAAAACTCACAGACCTTTATCCAGAGGAAGAGAAAGGCAATGGCGGAGAGTGGAATACTGCTCTCCAACAACCTTTGAACTTCATGGCAAGAATAAAGCTAAAAAGCTGTAAGAAACACTGTCATTAATCTTATCAGCCAGATAAGAGTTGAGTTGAAGTAGTTAAGACCTGTATGCAAAAGACTTAAGAGCTGGCAATTCTTTATCTGACTGATAAAGGCCTGTCTTATATCTTTCCTGCTATTATCAAATAGAAGGTGTTAAAGAAAAAAAAAATGAAGCAAACATGAACTTATAACACTATCACTAATAAATTAGCACTTTCTCTTCCCAGTCTTAGCTGATAAAGGAGGTCTGTCAAGCCATCTGCATTGATTCTTGTAGAGGACAATAATTTTAGATCCAAATCACATGAATCAGAGCGCAACCATAAAATTTATAGGAACAGAAATTTGGCTGCTGTTCCTTAGATTCAAAATACAACTACGGGGAGGAAAAAGCAAGAAGCTGGAGACATTAAGAATGGTGCACCATGTGGCTCTTGCAGATTTAATAGGCTTTTTTCCTGAATGTGTCTGAACTACCTAAGGAAATGGGCGAGTTAGCAGTAAATCTATTGTCTTACCTGTTTTACAAGGGCAAACCCCCTTTCTTTTGGAAGCTAAGGACAAATTGCTTTAAGTAGCAGAAAAGCACTGGTGGACAGTACTAGTACTGTGTTACAGTGTGTCCCTCTGCTAGCAAATTCCAAGTTTGATCATAAACTAAAAAGACTATGAAATATTTTGTGTCTTCAAGCTTACAAATACAGGTGATTGCTATCAGCCGAAGGGCTGGTGGAAATACTGCCACTCTATGTAAAACATGTGCTCCCAAATGCACACTGAAAAGCACAGTTACTGCAAGGTCTGTTCCTACTGCCTGAAGAGGCAAGACACAAAACCAGTTGATTTTAGGAACCACATAATGGCTCATTTCTTTTTTTTCTCTCTGGCCTTATTCCCCAGTGCCCCGTGCCCTTCCACTTTTCACCCTGAGCGACATGAACAAAGTTGTTTTTCAAATAAGCACAAAGGTGTAAAATGACTGGGTGGGGTCATAAGGGATGTGTTCTCCTAGTTTTATTGGACTGTTCTTATCATTCTCCTTACTTCTCAACTCCTCCCATTAAATCCACTTACAAGAAGATTTTTTAAAACCTGAAGCCTATATGTAAAATTTCATAAATTTAGAAGTAATTTGTGAAACAAAATTTTCCTTGTGTAGGTCCTAATCTAAGAAATGCACTCCAGGAGTGAACCTTTGGGAAAAACATAAATCAAGATCTTCAATTTCTATGCAGCTTTTAGACAGGGAAAATGTCCACTCTATTCATTAGAACAGTGAGATGACTACATAAACTGTGTTTGGTTGTGTGATAAAAGCTTCTCCACACATCTATGGTGTTACTCAGAACACCAGCAGGATGGAGAACCTGGATAATACCCTGGTGGGCTACTGCCAGGGCCAGCACATGAGTCATCAGCCTATGAAAAGCTCATTGCCACCAGTCCAGAGTAGTACACAAGGCTCACCTATGGGACCTGGAAGTCCCTGCCAGCTCTGGGTGCAAAAAGCATCTCCCCATCTCTAAGAGTAAGAGCACTCAGGGGCAGCAAAAGGGGCCCTGAGAAGTCCTGGCTAGTCACACGTGCACATGTGATGGTCTGTACTAACATCTGCAGTGGGGCTATGACCTTGGGGGCTCATATGTCCAGGTCAGCTGGGAAAATTGGGATGAAAGAGCTACTAGGCAGATTGTGCGAGTCTGTGTGCTGGAGGGATGCACCTTGCAGATGTGTGATGCATCTCTACATCACATATATTCTCAGTATTTCACCTCCATCCTGTTTAGCTAGAGAGCAGAGGGGATGAAGCTGTTGGTGTTGCCTCTCTGATATGCATGACTTGCCATGTACAAATCTAAGTACGTTGTGTATGTGTGTTCTCTGTGGGTGTGTGTGCTTATGGGAAACACATTTTCAGCCTTGGCACTGGTTGGATCTAATGTTTTAGGACCTGTTGTAATGATTGAGCTGTTTAATCCATTCCACATAAGACAAACACCTGGAGTACTTTGAGCAGCAGAACATTGGTCTCCTTCCCTCTGAGAAGAGGGAAGATAGATAAGAGATGGCTTCTGTTTCCAGTGTAAACACATTGATGACCATGAGAACCCATGGCAATATGATAATTCTCATTTCTGCTATTTCTGCTTTTTGTAGCCTCAGTGACCTTGGATCCTAGTCTGCCATCCTCTTTCCCTTTGCCAAAAGCAGTTGCTAGTG